GGTGTTTCATTCCTTATTATGGCCCAATAATAGTCCATTGTGGGGATATACCACATTTTGTTTACCCATTTATCAGTTGATGGTCATTTGGATTGTGTCCAGTTTTTTGCCGTTATAAATAATGCTGCTATGAACATCTGTGTACACATTTCTGTGTGGACATATACTTTGAATTCTCTCGGAATCCACAATATGTTCTTAACTACTGTGCTCTTCCGGAAGACAAAACAGGCAATTCTTACTTGGGAATGATCTCGTTATATTGTTGCTGCAGTGCCTTTGGTGGGTAACTTTATTGGGAGTGCTCATTCTGTGACGAATTAGCAAGGCTTTTACAAATACCGCTTCACTCAGTCCTCACAACATTTCAAATAGGGTAGATGTAGTGAGCCCTGTTTTACAGATGAGGCAGCTGAGCCTCACCAAGTAAACTGCTCAAGGTCACAGAACTTGTAGAATGTATAGGGAGCTAGCTTGGACCCAAGTGTGTGTGATGGCCCACCGCACTCTCACTTCAACATCATATGGCTGCCATTTTCAGGGGTATTTATGAATAAATAAACCTCCCACTCGAAAGCTTACTGGCCTGGATTTTACAGTCCTTTCCATGGGCGTTTTCTTCATTTCCCCGTATGAAATAGATAGTGATATACTTGTTTGTACCAAGGGGCAATGGAATTGAGTGTGTGCCCAAGGTCATGGGTGGGTTGGAAGTCCAGAGTCTTGGCTGGAAGTGCCTTTTAGAGTCTAGGTTCATTGCTTTTTGCATTTTAGCACAACTGCTTTCCAAACAACCGTTGCGTCCTCCCTGAGAGATACTGTCATTGTCTCCCAATTCTTTAGTGTAGACTGAAGGTTCCGGATGGGGTTCAAAAAACTTCAGTAACTCTAGTACCTTTCAGCATTGGGCCTGAGGTGTAATCCTATGAATTCTGATGACCTGTCAGAAATCCCTCTTGTACCTCGTGTGTATCACTTTCTTAACTGTGCACACTGTAAGGTGCGGCGTGAGTACACCGTGCCCACAGTTTAGTTGCTGCCCGTGAGCACTCACCTTGCACGGCTGTGAAGGGAGGGTGAGGAGCCGGTGACAGCCTTGTTACCGCATTGGAAAATGAAATACTTGTGGGATAAACTATGAACGGTTTTTGTTGGTAAAACCAAAATTCATATAAAGACTTGTTTATTAATTCACTGCTGACTGGTTTACTACTATAAGAAGAGACTACAGGCAAGTGTCCCAGAGCCAAGGACTTGGTTTATGATGTTAAAAAGTACACATTTTAGGAGGAGAGTGGAGCTCATTTTCTGCCTTTGCTGGCCAGAAACGGTTCCTGCTTATTTGTTAGGTGTCCTGAAATTGTGCCTGGTGATTGGAATTTTTACTAAATCCTTCTTGATCGTTAACATAAGACCCTATTTCGTGGGGGAAGAGAGGGGTATGCTCTTTGTAATTGCCATTACCTCATTGCTCACCATGCTCCCGCCCCACATGGCCTTTTTTCTTCCTTGGACATAATGAGCTTCTGTCTCACCTCAGGGCATTTGTGCTTACTGTCCCCTCTCCTTGGAGAGTGGTTCAGATTTTCTTAAGATTAGTTCTTTCTGGTGTCACAGCCCATGGCACTTACTGCCGTCTGAGATTATAATATATGTTTACTTGTTTATTATTGTTTCTTTTTTTCATTAAAATCCTTCCTGTGAGGGAAGGACTCGGCTTGTATCCCCCCAGCACCGACACTGACCCTTTATCTTCATCTGCTGTGGCAGGAGCAGAGTTGTTCCTGCTTACGTGTCTACTTCCTACCAACTATGGCCGCCTTGGGTAGTGACTCAGGGTAATTTTTCTTTCAGTCCCCAGGTTGCTGCTCAGTAAAGTTTTCTCAAATCTATGAATACAGAGCTTAGGAATCTTTGGGAAGGTAAATTCCTAAACTTGAGATCTTCTCATGGAGGCTACTTCCCTCCACAAAATGTCCTTTTGATGTCTCTGGTAGAACAGTTGTTAGGGAAAGCCTGCAGTGGTTCTCGTAGCCATTCCCTGTGGACTCCCCACCCCTTCCTTTTCAAGATCTTTGCTCTGTGCTATTCTTTTCATCATGCACAACCCTACCCCAGCCCCAATCCCATTCATTCTTCAGACTTCATCTCAGTGTGATTTGCTCATGGGAAACACACCTCTCCCCTCCGCCCCCCATGAGATTAGGTGTTGGCTCTTGCTAAGCTTCCTGAGGGCAATGCCGTATCTGTGTTATTCATTCATTCATTCATTCAGTCAGTCAGTCAGTAACCTGTATGCCCAGTGTGGAGCTTGAACTCATGACCCCAGATCAAGAGTTGCATGTTCTTCCGACTGAGCCAGGCAGGTGCCCCTGGTGCCATATCTGTTTTAACCTTCATTTGATCCTCAGAGTCCATCCAGCAGGTTACACTTTGTAAACATATGCTGAGTGAATGCTTAAAGAATTAGTGATAGTGTATTTGCATATCCATGTTCCACAGCAGCACTGTTCAGCATAGCCAAGAGGTGAGAGTAACCCAAGTGTTTATTCAATCAGTGGATGACCGGATAAACAGAATGTGGTATACACATACAGTGGAATATCATTCGGTCTTAAAAAGGAAGGAAATTCTGATGCATGCTACAAGAATGAACAGAGAACATTAGGTTAGTGAAGTATGTCCCAAACAAAAAGACAAATGCTGTAAGACTTCACTTAGATGCCATACCTAGAGTAATCAAATTCAGAAACAGAAAGTAGAATGGTAGTTACCAGGGGCTGGGAGGAGGGGGCAGTGGAAGGTGGTTTAATGGTGTTGATTTCAGTTTTGCAAGATGAGTCTTGGAGACTGGATGTACAACACCGTGAAATATTTAACACCACTGAACTGTACAGTTAGAAATGATTAAGATGGTAATTTTGTTACATATTTTTAAAAATACAATGAAAAGAACTAGGGCAGAAACTGTGACTTCTGGAAATCACTGTAGAAGAATCTGGAATTCTTAAGTGGTACAATGCCTCTGTGACTTCTGGGCAGTATGCATAAATTAAGGAAAGAAGTATTTATTTCCTTATCAGGGAAGCTCAAGTATTTTCTAAAGAATGGTCAGAGTCCAGGAGGGAGCTGCTTTGTGTCTTCCCTCCCTGCCTAGGTTCTTGTGCTTCTCTGCTCCTAGGACCCAGTGAGCCCTGGGGCGAGCCTGTCTGCTGTGCGGTGAGCCTGCCTTCACCCGCACAGCCCAACTGAGTACTGAGCATTGTACTTCCTGCCCTTCTTGGTGTAAGATTTGAAGCAAACTTTTATTCATTTCCTACCCTGTTTTGCTGTTGTTGTTGTTTAAGTTTATTTATTTATTTTGAGACAGAGAAGCAGAGAGAGAGGGACAGACAGAATCCCAAGCAGCTTCCATGTGCCATCAGAGCAGAGTCCAATGCGAGGCTCGAACTCATGAACCATGAGATCATGACCGGATCCAAAATCAAGAGTTGGACGCTTAACCGACGGAGCCACCCTGGCATCCCTCCTATTATGCTGTTCTAATGCTTATGAAGAACTTATTCTTGTAGAGTCCAAGGGAATGACCTGAACATTGTCATGCCTCTTTAGCACATGCCCTTTGTAGAGGTTGCCTCATTTCAGGCTGACAGTGGCCCTCTGAGGTATTATCCCATTTATTTATTTATTTATTTATTTATTTATTTATTTATTTATTTCCTTCCTTCCTTCCTTCCTTCCTTCCTTCCTTCCTTCCTTCCTATTTACTTATGAGAGAAAGAGAGCGCATGCAGGGGCAAGGGGCAGAGAGAGAGAGGGAGAGAGACAATCCCAAGCAGGCTCCATGCCTACCGTAGATAGCCTGACACAAGGCTGGATCCCACGTCTGTGAAATCTCGACCCAAGCTGAAATCAAGAGTTGGCTGCTGAAACAACTGAGCCACACAGGCATCCTTCCCCATTTTCTAAAGGTGGAGACAGATTATCAAAGATCCCACAGCTAAGTGATGGAACAAAGACCACTCCAGATCGTCTGCCTTTATAGTGCACATTCTTGCCTGTGCTTCAAGTTGCTTCCTGTATGGTCTCCATCTCGTGGTCCAGATTCGTCACACACCTTAACCCCAGACAGTTCAGATAGTGTACTCTTCACACTTATAAACTGCTTGGTCTGGTCCCTTAGTTTAACATACATTAGAGTACCAAGAGTGACTGGAACCCCAAGACCGTGCTTTTGAAATCCCAAACCCAACTTTGAAACCCCAGGCATCCCATAAAGTCTCTGCTAGATGTTGAAAAACCTAAAATGTACTTTTCCACTCTCTCCCACCATTGGTAAAAACAAAGAAGGAAACAAATAATACGGCTCTTTGTTATTCTTTTATCTGCTAAACTTACAGAAAGATTAGGGAGAAGAGAAAACTCTACTGAGTGAACACTCTGTCCCCCAGTTGGCTCCCTGCTTCCTCTCGCCTCCAAGGATGTGAAACATCTTATCTTCAAGCCTTTAATTTCTATGTAACATTAGCAGTTCCATCCACCTGAAACATTACCAGTTCATTTCTAGCCAGCTTATACCTTTTGTGTATGTGTGTATGGGAGGGTCTATATAAATAAACCCTTCTCTAAATGTTCATTTCCAGAGTACTGCTCCAAAATGTCCTACTTGCTTAATAATTTCTACTTCGATAGTTACTCTGTATGTCTAACAAGAATATTTGCTCTGATTCTCTGGTTCCCTTGCGTGGGAGAAAGGAGGGAAAGAAAGCCCTTCAAGTGGTGTAAATCCAGACTGCGTTCTATTTTTCCTCACAAGTGGTGCTTTTCAAAGCGTTCCGGCGTCCCTGCTGTATGGATGTGTCACTGTGCGAGATGACAACAGGATTTGCTGGGAATGTGGGCCACTATTGTATCCGCCTTACGTAACCACGTGGAGTGGTGGCAATGGGTGAGCAGCCTGGGGTGTAGGCAGTGGCCTGGCCGATTAATCTCCAGAGGCCATGAAGACTGCTCAGGTCCTCCAGAGGATGTGGAGCCAGGCTGTTAAAAAGTTTGGGAGACTGAAAGGCCACGTGAGTCCCTCTGCAAGCTCTCCCTCTTTTCTTTCCCAGCCTTTCTTTGCGGGAAGTGGTTGGGGAGCAAAAGCTTTCGCACAGTGACTGCTTTCTCTTCGGATTTATTTGCCCTTCTGGCAGCTTTCAGTAACAAACTGTGACATGCAGCTTGTAGTCAATGGTGGGTTTTAGAAATACTTGCCTTATTTTTAGCAGACATGTGAAACTGATAGCCTCTTATGGGATTTATGAGTCAAATACTGCTGTCTTGCATGTTTTGGGAGTCTGCAAGTACGTTGTAGCTTCCTGGGAATGACTTAATATACTCCTCGTAGAAGATGTTTGTGTTTGGGGATTTATTTTGGGGTGAAACTTTTTGCTTCCTTATTCTGCAGAAATCTTTATTCTTATATCTAGGTTCTTCAGTTACAGGAAACAGTTTTTGACATGTTCTTTTCTTCCTCTCAGAGTTTTGAATGGCAAGTACTACTGTAGCATGTATGAATGTTTACTTTTATGGCTTGGGGTTTTTATCAGACAGCTCCCATAATTATGGGCTAAGTTTGAATAATCTGGGGTGTTGACTTGGGGTAGATAGACATGGGAGCCCTGTACCCCACTGCTCCCCCAGAGCTAGCTAATCTCTCCCTCACCTTCCTTCCATACACCTCTCAAATTATTGCCACCACCCTGTTTTTCCCGCCTCCGGTGGAAGTGATCACATTTTCTTCTGCTCTTTCACTTTGCAAAGTCTGGGCTTAAAAAATATTTGGTATAAGGTCCCTGTCCAGGAATTGGGTACACCTTGATGTTCACTCATATGCACCTACCCTATTTTTTATTTTATTTTTTTAAATGTTTATTTATTTTTGAGGGAGATTGGCACGAGCAGGGGAGGGGCAGAGATAGAGGAAGACAGAAGCAGGCTCTGTCCTGACAGCAGAGAGCCTGATGTGGGGCTTGAACTCATAAACTGTGAGATCATGACCTGAGCCGAAGTTGGATGCTTAACCAACTGAGCCACCCAGGCGTTCCTGCCCCCCTGTTTCTGAACTTGTGAAGCATGTGGTGCAGGTGCAGGAATTACAGATCTAAATCATAAAGCCTGGTAGTAAAACACATACCCAGGAGCCCATCATGCACATCCATGGAGCCTCATGGAGATGGACAGAAAGTCCTTTCTCACTGTGCCGCATCCCTGGCTCATTTCATCCTGTAGTTTGTGGTTTTCATTCCCTTGCTTTTCTTTTTTTTTTTTTCTTCATAGTTTTACCACACACATGCATATGCATCCCTAAGGAAAAAATTAGTTTTGCTTGCTTTTTCTTTATTGTGGTAAAAAAAAAAAAACAAAAACCCGCAGAACATAAAACTGAGCATCTTAACCATTCTTAAGTGCACAGTGCCATAGTATTGAATATATTCACGTTGTTGTGAAACACTGCTTTCTGAACTATATCAAAGTGATATCAGGCTCTGCACATTCTTCTAGATGTTTTTCACTCAGTGTTTTCTTTGAGTTGCATCTGTGTGGCTCTAGTTTGTTTTCACTACTGTAGAATATCGCATTTTAATAATATATTATGATTTACTTGTCCATTCTGCTCTTGATATTAATTTGGGTTGTTTCCAGGTTTTGGCTTTTGAGAATGTTGCTGTGAATACTCTTTGTGTGTGTCCTTGTCACATATTCATACATTCCTCTTGGGCCTCTGCCCAGGAGAGAAATCACTGCATCATGGAATACGTGTATCTTTGGCTCTGATCCATGTAGGTAAAGCTCCTCAAGGCTAAGCAACGGCTGAATACTGACAGCAATTCTGGGATCTGTACACAGCCCGGCACAGGTTGGGTGGGGCCCGAGCCGAGTGGCCCAGTTTGAAATGAATGAGCTGAAGCCCTCAGCTAAGCTGCTGTAAGCTGGCAGCCTGTCCCCTGGGGGATGTACAGGAGAGGATACTCTGAGGACTGTGTGACTGTGAGGGGTGCTCTCTGTTTCCCAAAAGGTGTTTATAGAGATGAGGCGGGAAGACACTCAGTGATTTTCTTTTTGGGCACACCTGTTGTAAACACTCCACGGGCTCTGGTGGTTTTTATTCACCAGTGTATCCCGAGTGCCACAAATCACAGGCTTGGCACATAGTGGGTACTTAATGTCTTTGAACGAATGAATAAATGAGGGAGTGAATGAATGAAGGGGCTTCTCTGAGACCTTCATAAAAAGTCCTAGTTCTGTGGACTAAATACACAGTTATGGTATATTTTAATAGCTTTCAAAAGAACTATTAAAATGTATTTTTACTTCAGGTTCCTCGTCTTTAAAAAATAAGATTTTAAATTCATCACTTGGTGTAACAGAACATATGTTCTTTTAAATACTATGTTTAAATAGTTAATAGTTTATGTCCCAATGCATTACCAATCCTAGGTAAAGAAGCCACTTACAATCTGATCAGTTCATACAAGTTAGTGAGATCTTTGGGCACGCGGCAAGGTCTGATTGATTAAAAATTTCAGTCAGTCCTGGGGCGCCTGGGTGGCTCAGCCGGTTAAGCATTCGACTTCAGCTCAGGTCATGATTTCAGGGTCCGTGGGCTTGAGGCCCACGTCGGGCTCTGTGCTGACAGCTCAGAGCCTGGAGCCTGCTTCGGATTCAGTGTCTCCTCTCTCTCTGCCTTTCCCCTGCTTGCACTTTGTCTCTGTCTCTCTCTCTCTCAAAAATAAACGTTTAAAATAAGTTTTAAGAATTTAATTCAGTCCTGTTGGGGTGGCAGTGGTAGGAATAGGGGTTTAATTCTCTTTCTGATAAATCTAATTTAAATTACCCCTGTGCGCAGCACAGGGGTAGATTAGATAGTATAATCTCATTATGGAATAGTGAATTTCAAAAGCCAGGTTCATTCTACCTTGGGCAATATTTTAAAAATAAAGTTTTGTGGCAACTCACTTATTTGGCTAAATGATAAAAATTTTTAAATCCAAAACCTTTATTTTTTATTCAATTTTAGTTTAGTTTTTTTTTTTTTTTTAACATTTATTTATTTCTGAGAGAAAGAGGCAGAGCATGAGCTGGAAGGGGGTAGAGAGAGAAGAAGACACAGAATTGGAAGCAGGCTCCAGGCTCTGAACTGTCAGCAAAGAGCCTGCACAGGGCTTGAGCCCAGGAGCGGTGAGATCGTGACCTGAGCTGAAGTTGGCCGCTTAACTGACTGAGCCACCCAGGCGCCCCTAAATCCAAAACTTTTAAAAGAGAACTTGTTTTTTTTATTTTTAAAATAAAAAATGTATTCTAAAAGTAATGTACTCATATAAAAATATTCTCTTCCATACCACAGCTCCTGGGGAAATTTTAACATTTTTTGGTATTTATTCTTCCCATCTCTTCCATGTATGGTTATATAAATACATATATTTATGACAATAAAAATGGAAACAGTGATGTTTTGTATATGGATTTCTCCCCATAGACATTTGAATATGATCTATATATGTAACCAATCTCCTATTGTTGGACATTTGAATTACCTATTAAAAATTACACTCAGCTATAAAAAAACTTATATGTTTACCTTAGTGTACTTGTGCAGATAATCCTGTAAAATAAATTGCTAGAAGTGGAACTGAATGATCAAGGGGTAATCAGATTTTACATTTTGATACTTATTGTAATATGCCTCCTGAAAGGTTTTTTATTTTTAATTTTTTTAATGTTTATTAAAATTTTTGTAATGTTTGTTTATTGTTGAGAGACAGACACAGAGTGTGAGCAGGGGGAGGGGTAAAGAGAGAGGGAGACACAGAATCTGAAGCAGGCTCCAGGCTCCGAGCTCCAGACTGTCAGCACAGAGCCCTACGCAGGACTCATACTCACAAACCATGAGATCATGACCTGAGCCAAAGCCGGACGCTTAAACGACTGAGCCACCCAGGCACCCCATAACGTTTATTTATTTTTGAGAGAGAGAGAGAGAGAGAGAGAGCGCGCACGCGCGCGAGCGCGAGCAAGCTTGAGCAGGGGAGGGGCAGAGAGAGAGACACACACAGAATTGGAAGTAGACTCCAGGCTCCCAGCTGTCAGCCCAGAGCCCCATGCGGGACTTGAACTCACAAGCCATGAGATCATGACCTGAGCTGAAGTTGGACGCTCAACCGACTGAGCCACCCAGGCACTCCTTCCCCCTGAAAGGTTTATACCAATTTATATTCCCACCCTTCCCACCAAGAGCGGATGGACCTGAAAATATAAAGCCAATTAGTTGTTCTTCTCTTTAATTGAAAATGTAGTAATCATGATAAAGAAACTTTTAAAAAATTGATGGCAGTTAAGTAATTATTTTCAATGCCTATGCATTTCATTGTGTTGATTCATTTAACCCAAATATCACTCCATTTTTGGACATTTGTGCTCCCTCCCACCCCAGAGCAATGCCCATTCCTAGGGGTGATTGTTATGGTATTGGTTAGTTATTTCCTGATGGTTTTTATTTAAAATTTTTTTTACTTTCTATAATTTATTTATTTTTTATAATTTACCCAGGTCAGTTAGCACATGGTGCAACAATGATTTCAGGAGTAGATTCCTTAATGTCCCTTACCCATTCCATTAGCCCATCCCCCCCCCCCCACAACCCCTCCAGTAACCCTTTGTTCTCCATATTTAAGAGTCTCTTATGTTTTGTCCCTCTCCCTGTTTTTACATCATTTTTGCTTCCCTTCCCTTAATGTTCATCTGTTTTGTACCTTAAAGTCCTCCTATGAATGAAGTCATATGATATTTGTCTTTCTCTAATTTCGCTTAGCATAATACCCTCTAGTTCCATCCACATAATTGCAATCCTGATGATTTTTAGAAGAGTATTCTGGAGAAGGTCTTGTGTGATGTTTCTTCTTTTTTTTTTCATTTAAATTTTAGTTGGTTAACATACAGTGCACTATTGGCTTCAGAAGAATTCAGTGATTCATCACTTGCATACAACACCCAGTGCTCATCCCAACAAATGCCCTCCTTAGTCCCCATCATCTAGCCTCTCTCCCACCCACCTCCCTCCATCAACCCATAGGTGTTCTCTATCATTAAGAGTCTTCCTGTGGTTTGTTTCCTTCTCTTCTTCTCCCCACCCCCTTCCCATATGTTCATCTGTTTTGTTTCTTAAATTCTACATTTGAGTGAAATCATATAGTATTTGTCTTTCTCTGATTGACTTACTTAACCAGCATAATACACAGTGGCTTTCTCATCCGTATCCTTTTACAGAGTGGCAAGATTTCATTCTTTTTGAAGGCTGAGTAATATTCCATTACACACACACACACACACACACACACACACACACACACACACACACACCCCACATCTCTATCCATTCATCAGCTGATGGACATTTGGGCTCTCTCCATAGTTTGGCTATTGTTGATAATGGGTGCTATAAAGTTTGGGGCGCATGTACCCCCTTCAAATCTGTATTTTTATATCCTTTGGGTAAATACCTAATAATGCAACTGCTGGATTGTAGGGTAGTTCTATTTTTAGTTTCTTGAGGAACCTCCTTACTGTTCTCCAGAGCAGCTACACCAGTTTGCATTCCCACCAACAGTGATGTTTTCTCCTAATGTGTAGGGATATAGCTATATTGAAAGAGGAATTGGCATCTGTATTTATTTTACCACAACTTCCAGGTTAATTCACCCTGTTGAAATTTGCCAGCTTTGAGGTAGAGTCAAGTGTAAGAAGATGAACTTGGGGAGCATGCATGCTAGTAAAGTCATTTCTAGTTGGTAGGTGATTGGTTAAGGCCACATTGAAACCTGAAGGTATCAGGGCGTTAGGAGGTGTTCTGTGGAAATGGAAAGAGAGGATCGAGATAATTCTAATCAACCAGGTTTCTGCTTACTATTTCCTTTTAAGAAAACTTTTTTTAAAATAGAAAACTTTATTAAAATCTTGGAAAACTTGCATTATAGTGGCACACGTTGTAAATGCTGTTTTAAACACAGACTGCAACATTCCAGAGAGGAATGGTGGTGATAAAGCCCACCTAGCACACTAGACCTTATCGGCACTCAAGTTCCCAACCTGACCACCTCAAGGGTGCTGTCGAAGAGGCAGAGGGCCACTGACTGTAACAGAAAATTTCCTTTAAGAAAACTTTTAAGTAGTAGAAATCAGTGCTTTAACCACATTAACAAGTGATAAATAGACAGTGTACCCACTTCTTGGTTCATTGAAAAGAAAACCTTTTTGAGTGCCTACTCTGTGCACCCACTGCTGTTCTAGGAGAAAAGGGACGAAATGGAGTGAGTGAGATATAAAAATCTTACCTGAAAATCCACTTCCATTTTCTTTCAATTGATAAACAGTGGTCGGGGCGCCTGGGTGGCTCAGTTGGTTAAGTGTCCCACTTTGGCTCAGGTCATGATCTCACTGCTCGTGAGTTCAAGCCCCACATCAGGCTCTATGCTGACAGCTCGGAGCCTAGAGCCTGCTTCAGATTCTGTCTCCCTCTTTCTGTCCCTCCCCTACTCATACTCTGTCTCTCTCTCAAAAGTAAATAAAATATTTTAATTAAAAAGAAAAAACAGTGGTGATGGTGAACAAACTTTTGTCACCATGTCAAAAGTCTTTGTCAAAAAGACGTATGGTCTTTTTTAATGTATACCTGTTTCAATGTGTTGTGCCTTCATTTAACCTAAACATAACCCCATTTTGGATGCTGATACCCATCCCTCCCCAGACCGCTGTCCTGCCACCGTAGCACCTGGTCGTAGGTGTGCTGGTAGCATGCATCCTAGTTCTTGCCTGTTCCAGGACCATTTGTATTTTCTTTTTAACTCTAGAGGTGGTTTTTTTATTCTAGTTTTTAATCTAATAACTCTGATCTCTTGGAGTCAGATGGTATTAGCCATGGAAATGTCCTTTTAAAAGTGAGTACATAGTGGGAGGGTGAGCTAAAGGATTAGGACTTCCTCTCAATTTGACTAATCAGTTAGAGCTACTCAAGAGTAGGCTGGTTTACCTTCTGTACAAACAAAATTGCCTTTTCCTAAGCCCCTCTGCCAAAGGGAACAGATGATCTGCTCCAGTAGATCGGTTGATAGACTTGCCTTTTATGTTAAGCTGTGTTTTTCTCCCCAGTCAAGAGAGTTTGTTAACTGGGGAAAAAGGAAGCACATCATCTAGACATTTTTCAGTTCTTTACTCTCTCTCATATTAGTATCAGTGCAGGAATGGCAAATTTGATTTGAAAAAATTTTAATGTAAAACAACTAGTTTTCTTAAAATTATTTTAGTTTGTATATAAATACAGTAAGGCCTTTTATTTACGTATTTCTTTGTGTCCTTAGGTTTTAGATAGTCTCTTATTAAAAGACATAGAGCTTGATGGACCTTCTTGTTTTTAAAATCCAAAGCAGGTTCTATGCTGTCAGCTCAGAGCCCGATGCGGGGCTTCAATTTATGAACTGTGAGATCACGACCTAAGCTGAAACCAAGAGTTGGACGCTTAAGCGACTGAGCCACCCAGGCCTCCCTGGACCTTCTTGTGTGATTGTGATTACTCTTCTATATTCTTTCTATATTCTAGTTTGCATTTTACATTTGTGCTGTTTTTGTTTTTTTTTTTTTCTAAGTTTCCCCTTTTGCCTCCTTTGCCTTGTTTTGGATTGACTTGTTTTGTTGTTTGTTTTATTTTTACCTCTGCTCTGTTGAAAGTTATGTACTGTCAGTACTCCTATCGTAGTTACCCCAGAAAATTTAACATGTAGATTTGACTCAGTGAAGTTTAAAATTAATCAGCAGTTTAACTCTGCTCCTGAATAAAACATTTAGAGTAATCTAATTATGTTCAAGTCTTCTGGATTTACATGTGTGTTGTTTATACTTTGGCTCTGTCTTATTTGTATTAAGTCTAACAGGTTATACATTATTATTGTAGTTGCATACAGCCAATACGTGCTCAGGCTTACTCATGTTCCTTCTTGTGTTTTGGGTCTTCCTTCTGGGATTATTTTCCTTCTTTCTCAAATATCCTTTGGAAATTGTTTTATTGCTGGTCTAGGGTACTAATCTGTCCCAGTTTTTATGTTTTCAAAAAATGTCTTTTATACCCTCTAAATCAACATGTATTGTGTTAAAAATATTCTGTTAATTTTGGGCTTCCATCATTGCTGTTTAGAAGTCAGCTGTTACTCAGATTGTTCTTTTGTAGGTAATCTCTCAGGTCTAGACTGTTCTCAAGTCTTTATGTATTTTTTTCTTCCTTGAAATTACCATGTATTTAAAAGTGTTTTTTCCCCATCTCTACCACTCCCCCCCCCCCCCCCCCCATTTACTCTGCTTTTGATGTTTTGGGCTTCCTGAACCTGAAAAATCTTTAATTCTGGAAGAGTCATTATCTCTTTGAGTACTACATCTCTCCTGTACCCTTTCAGCATCTTGTTCAGGAAATCTAACCAGATACATTGTAAATAAGACTTCCTTGGTCTTAACTTTTCTTTCAGGATGTCTCACTTTTTAAATGCTTATTACTGTGTTCTGGATAATTTCTTCACATCTGTCTTCCAATTAATTACTCTTTTCAGGTGTGTACAGTATGTGGCTCACTCCACTGTTTATCTCAATTATACATTTTTATTTCTAAAATTTTTGTTTGCCTTTTTTTCAGATTTCCTTGGTCATTTTTGATGTTCCCTTGTCCTTTCATTACATTTCCAATTTCCCCTTTTAATTTCTTATGATAAACATACATGTTATATCCACTTCTTTGAGTCTGTGATTGATATTCCCAGCATTTATAGTCTTTGGTCCTGCAGTTTCCTGTTTTAACTCTCACTCATGGTGACCCGCTTTGTGTGTGTGCATTCAAATTGTCAACTTCTGTTCCTCAGATACTCATCTGGGGGATTCTCTGAAACCTGTGTTTAGTATGTTCCTTGGAGAGAATTTGCATTTGCCTCTGTGTCCCAGGGTGGTGCTCCCTTGCCTAACCACTTTTAGCAGGTTTTGAGGAGATGTGGTACTATCTGTAATGAGAATTTTAGTCTCAAACCTGTGTGAGTACAGGTCTGTTGGTAGGAATTCTCCAGGGAGATAGTTTTAGTTATTTCCGCTCTACTCAGAGCCAAGGGACATGCCCCTGCCATCTCCATCTGCCCGATGGAGTTTTTCCCCTACTACATCCACTTCCATCTAATCGCCCCCCTGTTTGGGTCCTACAGCTTATCTCTCTTCCCAGCCTTCTGTTGGAATGCCCGCTTCGATACTGGTTTATCTCTCTGGCTTTGAGCTTTCTTGGCATTTCTAGCCTTTAAGGATTTCTCCTCAAAGGCAGCCTGCATTTAATGGATTTATTATTAGTATTTTTAAACTGATAACGACTATTTTCAGGCTTTTCTGGACATTTATTTTGGAATACTGTCAGAAAGGAAGCCCCCATCTATTTATGCAGGCATTTTCATCTTTTACACTCAGCAGTACCCATGGAGAAAAGGCACTCTCTGACAAGGCCAGGGATTCCTTTAGACATAAGATTTGCCTAAGAGGTCATCTTTGATAGGAGGAGGGGAGAGTGACTTAAAAAAAAAGAAGTATCTGTTTAAAACTCTAGATTTCTTTTTAAGGGATTTTATAATGACTGCTTTGGAGTAGTGGTAATAAAAAAGTTCAACACTTAATATTTCAATTTTTTAGGGTCTATATCTTACTATGTATTTCATTACTTTTCATTTGTTAAGACTACCATTTGATTGAAGGAGTGTTTGAAGATAGGTAACATAATGTTCCTAAAAAATATCAACTCCTTTTAGTGTGTAGAATGTGTAAGCTGGACTTTATATAAAGACATCTTGAATTACAGCTTTATTTCTAGCATTGAAATGTTTGTGGTTTAAACAAATTGGTTTTGCTGTTTGAAAACAGGCCCCAGGCATGGAAGAACTGATATGGGAACAGTACACTGTGACCCTACAAAAGGTGAGTGCTGCACAGTTCATATGTGCTACAGTCATATTCTTGAGCTCACGGGTCATGGATCCTATTCACTTTCGGCCACAGTGTTTCCCCCCTTAAGGTGGATGATGCATTGTAGCTGGCAGTAATTACTGCATTATCAAAGATTTGCACGCTATTATATTTTTTGGTTAAGGCCCGTGTAATCGAAAATTATAGAGGTTATTTAGTGTATTCACCTATCGCCAGACAGAACAGGTTATGAAGAAAGAGAAAAGGAGGGAAGAAATGGAAATAACCTCTACTATTTAAGGATGTTGAGGTAGCTTCCACAACTTCTGTCATTTTTATTATGATGTATTAAGTTCAAACTAAATTTTGAAACATTGGTTTGACAGAAGACATGGGTTATATTTCTTATCCCACTCATGATTAAAGGAGTTTTTTTTTTTTTTTAAGTTTATTTATTTTGAGAGAGACTGAGACAGCATGAGAGGGAGAGGGGGAGAGAGAGAATCCCAAGCAGGCTCCACGCTGCCAGTACAGAGCCCGATACAGAGCTGTAACCCACGAAGCTGCGAGACCATGACCTGAGCCGAAACCAAGAGCTGGACTATTAACCGACTGAGTCACCCAGGTGCCCCTGTCCAACTCATGATTAGATCAGGAGGCGCCGAGTTAATCAGATTTTTAAAAATCCTGCCCTCCTTCCCCATGGGACTGAAAGCCAACGTAAACCAGATAGAAAGGTACTTCACTTAATTTTTACGGCTTAATTTTTACGGTTGTTTCATGGGATTGCTCCTCTTGATTAAATGAGGTAATGCAGATGGCCTCTAGTACATGGAGTCCAGCACATAATGATTGCTTCATAAGTGTTAGTTCTAGTCCCTTTTACTCTCCTGACAGCAGATTCGAGGTGGGCATGATAGGTGTTAGCCCCACTTGAAATCAGCACAGCCACCAACAGTCTGTAAGTGATTTGTGTGTGGCTGGGCTGATCTGAGAAGCACTTGTGGTCCTGGGGTCTTATTCCATCAGCTGCCCTGGTCAGCATCTCTGTGACTTTTGTGGGCTCTGCTGGTCTTAGTCCTGCTCTGAATCCCTCCAGGCTCTGGATTGTAAGTTCCTAGAGGAGTTGTATGTTCCTCAGAGGGAGAGTTTTCCTTTAACCCTTAGAACTGTGAATTTTTCAAATCCTGACTTTAGTGAAAAGTTAGTTCCTGAATAAATGAATTAGTCCTGGTTGAAAAACACCCACGTCAGTGCTTAGGAGCTGAAACTTCCGGAGTTAAGTAACATGACATGGTTTCTTTGGATGAGTGCTTTCTCCCCTTGGGTCTTACTTCTCAACTCTGGTCATCTTCTGACTCTTCTCTGCGCCCTTCCACCAGCATTTCACATACCCCTTGAGTCGTGGGCCTCAAGGTGGCAACGATGAGAGACATTTTAAGTCTGGTATAGAGGACGGAGCTGCCTCTGCATAAACCAACTACTAGGTGATGGTGCTGCCCAGTCCAAGGCCATGTAATCATGGGACAATCGCCTAGCCTGTTTTGTGTTGGTTATTGTCACCAGTTGGCATAGTGGGTCCTATGTAGGAAAATGGGGGAAGACTTTCTTGTATTCTTGGAGTACATTTTTATGTAATCAGACCCTGATTTACAGTTATAGTCACATGCCCATATCATCTGCATGAAACTTTGGGAGCGTAGCTTTTTTAAACACTGAAATGAAAGGGTTATTTATGTATTATCCAGGTTCACTGTTTTACATTTCTAGACCAATTGTGAATGTAATTAGTCTGTATTTTCTGTCTTATATGTACACAGGAGTTTAATGTTTTGCTCTCTCATAACATCTTAAAACTGCTTATCTTCATATCTTATCTTTAAAATCCATTTACTTCTTTTTTCACCCTATTAAAATGAAACCACCAGTTCACCTAACTTGGAAGTTAAAGTCATACTTTAAAAATAGGGTTTTCAGCACAGATTCAGTTGTGACTGAAACTCAGGCCAGGATATGAGAACAGGTATGATTGCTGATTTGAATAGCATATCCCTGTTTGGACAGAAGATGTTATTTCCCATGCCAGCCCCTAGTGATAACTCCAGGCTGTTTTATCAGTCTTTTCCAGCTTTCACAAGACTGTTCCTTTTAGATAAGGATTTCCCTTTATAAACTTGTCAGCTAATCATGATGGTGCCTTATTTTGTCATTTGTGTCTGTGAGCCCTCTGCTCTTGAGCTGTCTCTGGTTATTGGTTTGACCTTTATTTCACTGAGTGCTTGTAATAAATCCCAAAAGCCACTTACAGAAGGATTTTTATTATTTTAATTTTTCTCTTAACTCCAATGAACAGGATTCCAAAAGAGGATTTGGAATAGCAGTGTCCGGAGGCAGAGACAATCCCCACTTTGAAAATGGAGAAACATCAATCGTCATTTCTGATGTGCTCCCCGGGGGGCCCGCTGATGGGCTGCTTCAGTGAGTGTCCTTGCACCCCAGCCCCTGCCCGCCCCACTGGTTGCTCCTAGACAGGGTATGCACTTAAAAAAACAAAACAAAACAAAACAAAAAAACCAAACTTGCATATATATATATATACAAGAATTGAGACCATAACATATCATGCTTTAACAATCCCTAAACCTTTAGAGGAAGGAGAGCAGTCATTTCCACAGGAAAAGAGTAATAACTATCACAACTATCATTCCTAGGCTTAGGAATCATTTCTGAATGTGGAGTACAAAATCAGCATGCTCTCCTCCCGGCCCCTAGCAACCCAACCAACACTTTATACTTATTTTACCTTCTATTCATTAAGGATTTAATGAGGATACTTTGGCTTAATGATGATCTGATTTGTGTTTTTTTTGTTTTGTTTTGTTTTGTTTTTTGAGAGAGAGAGTGCACACACAAGCAAGGGAGGGGTGGGGGGGGAGAGAGAGAGAGAGAGAGAGAGACAGAGAGAGAGAGAATCTTAAGCAGGCTCCACGCTTAGCATAGAGCCCAATATGGGGCTCAATCTCACGACTTTGAGATCGTGACCTGAGCCGAAATCAAGAGTCGGCCACTTTACTGACTGACGTACCCAGGCACCCCAATGATGCTCTGACTTATAAGAGGGATGTGGAAACTGGGAAAACTTACTACATGAAAACACAGGTTTTCCAAATGCCAGCCTTCTGTTCTGAAGAGATCATGCCATTTTTAAAAGAAACATATCTGAGTTCCCTCAGGACAGTTTCTTAGGTCAGAATCTAAAATTAATTATATGACTGTCTTGGCCAGAGAGCTCAAAAGTTTAGGATTTATTGGCATATCAAGTCTGTATATTCGTATCTAAGTAGTCTTTCATACAGACAGCAGTGTAGGATTTAAAAAGTGATTTTGGGGATGAGGTAAGTAAGAGGGTTCTAATGACCTCAATATTTCCTTAATAACCTCAGGCAAACTCCTGACCTCCTCCCCTCCATAAAAACACAGGTGGATATAAACCTGCTCTGGGGGCTATCTTTAGACTTCCTGAAGCCCACCATGCACCACGGGCAGGGAGGGCCTAATGCAGAAGTTCCTTTTGTGCCTAAGACCTTGCCACTGCCTAGTGCCTCCCGGAGGGACCCTTTGGTATTGGTCCCCCACTGGCTTCCCATAGACAATGTCAAAAGTGGGCTGAGCGGCTTGTGGGTTCCTTCCTGGGAAGAGTTCAGATTGAGTTGACCGATTCGGCCTCAGGAGTCGTCAGACACTGAGCCTTTTAGTAAGCATTTTGGGTCAATTTGTTGCTTTTATGTGTTCCCAAATAAACGATTTACAGTGAATAGATGGGAGTTTTTCACGTCTTCTTTTTATTTTTTGTTTGCAGAGAAAATGACAGGGTGGTCATGGTTAATGGCACCCCCATGGAGGATGTGCTCCATTCATTTGCTGTTCAGCAGCTGAGAAAAAGTGGGAAGATTGCCGCCATTGTAAGCTCTGGGTTTGCTTTCAGCTTGTCTCCGTAGCATCTTGTTTTGTATGATCAGAAGAAAATTACCACTTGCTTTTAAACACTTGACAGAATTTAGGGGCTGCTACTTCTTGTTGCCCCTGCTGTGGGGTGATGTTACGGATGATGTAAATATGTAAGTAGTCTCTCCCTGCCTTTTCCTCATGCTGTTAACTTCCAATGACTCTGGTATCTGAGTGAGTTTGCCTTAGGAACCAGGCTGGACAATCCTAAGAGAATTCCCTAGATTGAGAACACTTGTAAAACAGTATTAATTTGGAAAATAAATTTCTGCTCAAAAACCCTTTTGTAAAGGCCCACACAAGATCTGTTATATCTTTTTTTAATTTTTTTTTTTTTTTTTTTTTTTTTTTTTTTTTTTAGTGTTTTTATTTATTTTTGAAGGAGAGAGAGAGAGACAGAACATGAGCGGGGGAGGAGCAGAGAGAGAGGGAGACACAGAATCTGAAGCAGGCTCCAGGCTCTGGGCTGTCAGCACAGAGCCCGATGCAGGGCTCGAACTCACGAGCCGTGAGATCATGACCTGAGCTGAAGCCAGACACTCAACCGACTGAGCCACCCAGGCGCCCCTAGATCTGCTGTATCTTAATAAACTACAGTTTCTTAGGAGATACTGGCGGTCTGTAGCATTCATTCATTTGCTCAGTCATTCATCAGCAAACGCTGGGTGAGCAGCAGCTATGAAGATGCCACCTGAGCCTGGAGCAGGGCTGTGCTTCAGGGAGTGCCTACTCGAGCCAGGCAAGTGGACACACGAAGCCAGAAGTGGAATATGGTGTGTTTAAGGACAGTGCTAGGGAGATGTACTGGGTATGTGGTATTTAATTTTTTTCCCAACTTCATATTATGAAATTTTTAAGCAAAAAGAAAAGTTCTAAGATTAGTGTAACGAACACTTCTATATCTTCTACAGTTTTGTTTTTTTTTTCTTAATGTTTGTTCTGAGAGAGAGAGAGTGTGCACACAGATGTGAGCTGGGGAGGGACGGGGAGAATCCCAGTCGGGCTCTGCCTGTCACAGAGCTGCTCTCAGTGCAGAGCCAGGAGAGGGGCTGGATCTCACAAACCGTGAGATCATGACCTGAGCTGAAATCAGGAGTCAGACGCTTAACTGCTTAAACACTGAGCCACCCAGGCACCCCTCTTTTACGGTGTTAATATTCTGCCATCTTCACTTGAGTTTTTCTTTTTTAAAATGTTTATTTATTTGTTTTGAGAGTGGGGGCACCCGTGTGTGAGTGGGGGAGGGGCAGAGAGACAGAATCCCAAGCAGGCTTCAGGCCCACAACCACGGGATCATGACCTGCTCTGAAATCAAGAATGGGACGCTTAACTGACTGAGTCACCCACGTGCCCCACTTGATTTTTCTTTCTCTCTCTCTTTTCCTTTTAAGTTTATTTTGAGAGAGCGCAAGTTGGGGAGGGACAAAGAGAAGGGGACACAGGACCTGAAGCAGGCTCTGTGTTGACACCGGACAGCCTGACCTGGGGCTCAAACTTCATGACCTGAATTGAAGCCACTCTTCATGAGCCACCCAGGTGCCCCTCCACTTGATGTTTTTATGTATATAAACACGTATTTTCAGTAAACCATTTGAAGGAAAGCTGCAGATACGACAGTGTCAATCCTACTTACTTCAGCATGCATCTCCTAAATAAGGACATTGTTTTACATAACACTATGAGGAAATTAATGACTTTAAAGTATCATCTAATACCCAGTCCATATCCCAAGATGTTTTCAATAGACTTTTCTTCCCCATCCAGGATTCCAATCAGGGCTCAGGCATTGCATTTGGTCATTAATCTCTTCAATGCCTTTTAATCTAGAAGGGTCCTTCTTTCTCTCTGCCCTCTCACTACGCTGTCCCCTCCCGCTCCATTACTGACACTGACTTTTGAATGAATTAGGCAGTTGTATCCAGAATGTTTCAATTTCTGGATTTTCATTTTCATAACTTAGTGATTTAAAGTCCCTTCATGCTATTCAGAACACTGAGTAGAAGCAGATTTTAGAGGCCCTGTGTTCAGTTATACTCATGGTCTTATACTCAAGGCTTAGTGAGTTGGCGGGGACAGAGTTTTACTGAAAGGAGAAGCAGGGCTGGGCTCTTAACCCTGCATTCTCTGTAACTGTGCTTGTCCTGCATCCCCCCTGCGTTTGCTTGAATGACAGGTGGTCAAGAGGCCCCGGAAGGTCCAGCTGGCCCCACCCCAGGGCAGCCCGTCTGTCGGTGAGGATGACCGCGCTTTTGATGTGATGGACGAGTTCGACGGCAGAAGTGCCCGCAGCGGGTACAGCGAGAGGAGCCGGCGCAGCAGCCACGGTGCGCGCAGCCGCAGCTGGGAGGACAGTCCGGAGAGGGGGCGGCCCCACGAGAGGGCACGGGGTCCAGAGCGCGAGCGCAGTCGTGGCCGCAGCCTGGAGCGGGGTTTGGACCACGACGACTATGGGCGGGGCCGAGAGCGCAGCCGCGGCCGCAGCCTGGAGCGGGGTTTGGACCACGACGACTATGGGCGGGCCCGGGAGCGCAGCCGCGGCCAGAGCACAGACCGGGCCTACGACCGAGCTTACGACCGAACCTACAGCCCGGAGGAGGAGTACGGCCGCAGGGCCCAGCCCGATGCCCGATACGCGGCGTCCCGGAGCCGCAGCCGCGAGCACTTGCACTCCTGCAGCCCCAGCCCTGAGCTGAGGGGGCGGCCGGACTCGGACAGGCCCATCGGGGTTCTTCTGGTGAAAAGCAAAGCAAATGAAGGTAGGCATGCTTGCTGAAGAAGAGCACTATTACAACAGCTAACTCTTACGTGGCACTTACTGTGTGCCAAGCACTGGCCCAGATGCTTTGTACCAGCTGGCTCATTTCTTCCTCATAACCACTGCGTGTGGGAGTTACTTATATCTGCCTTATGTAGACAAGGAGACTGAGGCACAGAAAAGTTCATTAACTTGCACAAAGCTGTGTCACCAATGGCAGAGCCAGGCTGCAGAAATGTGGCTTTAAACTCCTAGGCCAGGGGTTCTCAAAGCAGCCTATGCACCACCTGGACACTCGCAGTAAATGCAGATTCTCAGGTCCCAGCCCAGCCCCGCCGAGTTGAAACACGGAGAGAGACCAGAGTCTGTGTTAACAAGCTCTCCTGGTGAGCCTGGTGCAGCTTGAGTGGTGAAACCATGAGAGTAAATCAGACTCTAGCTGATCTTGAGCGTTTGCTCTGTGCCAGGCCTGCGCTGAATAAATAACTCTTAATCTTCACCAGAGCCCTGTGTGGTAGGTAGTAGACTTCACTCCTGTTGCCCAGTGGGGAGCATCGTGGTACAGAGAAGTTTTGGTGTGCCCACAGATGAGAAGGGCCCTGGTCCAGCCTGCCTGTCCCACACTGCATTCCTTGGAGCACTTGCACATGGTTCAGCTCATCCAAAATTCACTAAAGCCCCACGTGGCAGTTAGAGAAGCCAGCAGTCCCTTAGTTAGGCGAGGATTGGAAACTTCAAGAAGGGAAGCGACTTGCCCACATCTTGAAGCCAGGAAGTGGTGAGCCAGAACACAAATTGCATCTCCTAGAAGTAGATAGATGATCAGAAACAAGTAGGTGGATGAACAAGGCTTTAGAGCCAGTGCGGAGATGTTCCCTGCATTGGTTCTTGGTTCTGACTTTTTAAATTACTTGTCATATATCTTTTATCTCTGTTCTTTACTTCTCCCTCCAAGAGGAAGAACAATGAAGAGCACCCAAGAATGCAAAGTTAACTTCTTGCCCTTTAGGTTGGGAGCTGACATTTCACATAGCCTGTCTGATGAGAGGGTTTGTTTTGTTTTTACTTCTAGTGGAGCACAAAGTTGAGTCTAGAACTAGGTGCCCATCGAAATACCTAAAGAATAACACAAGGATGTGAGTAATGTGCTATGCAGAGTCCAGTCCCAGAAAACAGAGGAGTGAGTCGAGACTTTCCTATCTCTAAGGAATGCGCATCTTAGGAGGTTTAAGGATTCTACAGAATCTTTACAACCATTGATAATGATATATTAATTTATCAACCTACAAGAATTATAGAGTAAAAACCATCCTGCTCCCAGATTAGAAGATGGACTGGAGAAATTTTGAGAAAGATGACCTGGCATGAGACCTCCCTCAGAGAGGCCTGATACACCTTCTATAGGACTGGTACTCCAGGTTCTTGAGTTACCCAAGGTAGTGCTTTTCAGACTTTTCCTTCTCTTTCTCTTCTTTGCCTCTTTCCCTTTCCTTTCCCTCCTCCTTCCCTTCCACTGCAGAAAGAACCACATCTTGCAAACAATCACGGATGCATCTTCATATCAAAAAATTTGAACAAACCTTTCATGGAACAGTACTTATTCTGTGTGATGCATTCTGAGAGGTTCCATTACATTTTAAAATACTGTTCATGGGGCGCCTGGGTGGCTCAGTCGGTTGAGCGTCCGACTTCGGCTCAGGTCACGATCTCGCGGTCCGTGAGTTCGAGCCCCGCGTCAGGCTCTGTGCTGACAGCTCAGAGCCTGGAGCCCTGAGATTCAGATTCTGTGTCTCCCTCTCTCTGCCCCTCCCCCGTTCATGCTCTGTCTCTCTCTGTCTCAAAAATAAATAAACGTTGAAAAAAAATTAAAAAAAAAAATACTGTTCATAACTTACTACATTGATTTCAAGACTCACTAATGAATCTTGAAAAGATCTTGTCTGTAAGAGACGCCTAAGTCATGCCTGGTCTTACTAATACTATCAAGGATAGAAGGGGCTATGTCCCTTTGTTGAGACAGCATTTTATTCCTCCTAGGCCATTTTGTTACTTAAACTTGGAATTCACTGGGGGAAAAAAGTTCCAATTTTTAAAAGATAATTTTGCTGTTAGGATTACACAATAATTTGGCTATCACTGGCAAGAGTTGCATAAAAACTAATCTTCAAAGAAATCTAACAGTAGGAAAGACCTATATTTGACTAATAAAAATATCCATTTGAATTGCCCCGTTGCATTTCCTGGGCACCAGATAGCTTTGCTGGTACGTGTCTTAGAAGCTGGTCAACTCATTTTTTTCTCCATTTAAGAGATGCCCATAATACACCAATAACAACCTATTTGCAACTGTACAGTAAGACTGCAGTTTTTAAGAGGATAGAAGAATTGACACATGAGAAAGAAGTCATCATTCAAGCTGTCATAGCCTTCTGTGCTGGGCTGTGAGGCTGTTTAACCAACAAGGAACTGTCATCCATGAAAGAAGATGCTGTCTTACCCTTATTCTTTCTCATCACCTTCCTAAAGGGGTGGAGATGGACCTCAACTTTTTCAATTGTTGTCATAAGATCTGATGCTAACTCACTGTAAAGCACTTAAAATTTATTTTAGGGGACAAACCGGTAGTTGCCAGAGGGGAAGTGGGGGGGGGGGATGGCTGAGATAGGTGAAGGAGATCACTTACCATGTTGGGCACTGAGTAATGTATAAAATTACTGAATCATTATATTGTACACCTGAAACTAATAGAACACTGTATGTTAATTATACTTGAAAAAAACTTATCTTTAAATCTACTTCATAACTTTTTTAAATGGTAGGAAGTTACTTTGTTTTGAAATTGTAAGATTTTGAGTCCAGAACAATAATAATAAATTTGAAGGTGTCTCTTTTTAAAACCTGCTGGGTTGTGGTTCCTAAAACAGCAAAAATTTATCCTTAAATTAGGTATTTTCATAAGTCTAATAAGTAAAATCAGAAGAGTCTGAATAGTATTTAAAATACTTTTCACTGTGCATATTTAGTAAATACAGTGTTTTTTCTTTTCAGAGCAATCCGAAGTTCACAAACCCCCTGAGTACACAGGTTTTACTTCAATACTTTATTGCTTGGCTTGGCTTACTGACCTGTTTTCTTCACACACTGAAATTTCTTCACTGTCAAACCCACACAGCTAAGTCATTACACATGGAAGGGTATGCCACTTTCCTTTCTGTAGGCAACTGCACTGTCAGCAGAACATCTTTATTGAGATGTACTGAGTTGGTTTCTTTGGGCCCCATTTTGAAAAGTGTTCATTTTAGAGCAGATACTCATATAGCCTTCACCTAGTTTTTCCATTTGTCAACATTTTGCTACATTTGTTTTCTTTCCCCTTCTTTTCTCCCCTTTCTTCCTTCTCTCTTCCTCTTCCACACCTCTTCTATCTCTCAGTGGTTTTTTGGAACCACTTGAAAGTAAACTGCAAGGGTGACCCCCTTTAGCCCTAAATATTTCAGCAGGTATCTCCCGGGCATAAGAACATTCTCCCATATAACCAAAATGCCATTTTGGGTTCTTTAGAAAATTAACATTAATATCCCTTTTAATATATTGTAGTATGGTTCATTTTGAAGTTGCTCTAAAATAACGTATCCCCCCTCCCACCTCTGTCCCATACTGGATCCAGGACCTAGTGAAGGTTCATGCGTTGCATTTGGCTTTTATGTCTCTTTCAATCTAGAACAGTCCTTCTGCCTCTTTTGTTTTTTATGTCAATGACTTTTTTGATGAGTCCAGGCTGGTTGTCTGACAGAATGTCCTATGTGCAAAATTAATTTTTCATAAATATTTAAAAATTGACCTAAGAACCAGACTAAGTGTTCTGAACAAGTTGATGAAATATGTGTATGTTTATGTGTTTGTCTTCTAGAGTATGGTCTCCGGCTTGGGAGTCAGATTTTCATAAAGGAAATGACCAGAACTGGTCTGGCAAATAAAGATGGCAACCTGCATGAAGGAGATATAATTCTCAAGGTTGGTGATACAGGGTAGAGAACAACTGAATTCATGTTTATCTTTCTAGTCCAAATTTCCTATTTGAATGCTGATAGAGTGAAACTTTGATGAGATGGGAGTCAATAATAAGACAAAAGCTGGGAAGGGCAGCGGGGTGAGATTTTTATCACAAAAACCAGACATGGAGATTTGTAATAGTGTCATGTTAGTTTTTTAAAAAAAATTCATTGAATACTTTCTTATTCCCTGTTTATTTAAAGTTTAAGCTCCTATTCCCTAAACTAAGGAAAGATGAGAGGGAGAGTTGGTAGTACATGAATGTTGAATGTTTAATAGTTTCTGTAAACCTCTCCGGTCAGGAAACATGTTCCAGTAGTAAACCAAACCATCGTCTTGAGCTTGGAAGTTAAATAAATTAGCAGAGTAACTTAAGTATACCACAGCTCTCTCATGCCTGTCTTTGAGATCCAGGCATGCAGGGTTATATTTAATTTAAAGGATAATCATTTTTATTCAGTCATCCTAAAACTCATGTTGTTTGAATAGCTGAGCAAAGACTTTACACTTTTAGAAGGGCAAAATACAAACTTTCTATTTTGCTGTGAACAGCTGCATCACATGTAACATGACCATTATTCATAAACACAGATAAATGGAACTGTAACTGAGAACATGTCTTTAACGGATGCTCGAAAACTGATAGAAAAGTCAAGAGGAAAACTCCAGCTAGTGGTGTTGAGAGACAGCAGGCAAACACTCATCAACATCCCGTCGTTAAATGACAGCGACTCAGAAATAGAAGGTAAAGAGGGGGAAGCCTGTGAGCTTGGCTGGAAACAAGGAAGGCTGTTGCTTTTCCATTCTCACTGTAGTATAGCCATCCAGCTGGAAGTTAAATTTACAACAAAAGCTTCTGTTTTAAAATTTAATTCGTATAAGTGGTGGTTATTTTCTTACTAAAGTGTCTGCTGATACTAGTTTTCCAATATGAGATTCAGGTGGACTTGTGAACTCCCCAGTGGAATCTGTTTTAGGCCACTGAAAAAAAACTTGTTCGTAAAAAATATATGTGTGAGTGGCTCAAAGACCTAACCACATCCATTTGTAAATTGTTCAGTCTTGTACTTTCTTGCATATGTTTAAAAAGCGGTATTAATATTTCAAATAAAGGGAAGGTTATATGGAAGATAGCTAAACAGTCAGAATGGCTGAATATTGTGGTATTCATTAATTAGCAATCTGTGTCATCTCTTCTGTCTTAGGAAGCAATACTCACTTCTTAAATCTGAATTACACATGGGGTCACATTTTAACGATGCAAAAACTTACCAATAAAAATAAGTAGGTATGATACTGACTAACCATCTAGTACTGCCTTTGTGCAGAAGAACTTGGAAAATATTAAGTACTCAAGTTTGAAGACAGACATGTTGATTTTTTTTTTAAGTTTATTCATTTTTGAGAGAGAGAGAGAGAGAGAGAGAGAGAGAGAGAGAGAGAGAGAGAGGGAGAGAGGTGGAGAAAGAAAGGAACACAGAAGCCGAAGCAGGCTCCAGGCTCCCAGCTGTCAGCACGGAGCCTGATGCACGGCTCAAACTCACAAACTGTGAGATCATGACCTGGGCTGAAGTTGGATGGTTAACCAACTGAGCCACCCAGGTGCCCCAGCCATGCTGATTTTTAAAAGAATTACTTTATGAAACCATACAACTTAGGTTAACTTCCATCATATCAAAAGTCTAATCATTTGGTTACTGCTATGAGTGCAGTGCAGGAAAACAGAGCAGGAGAAATAATCCCAGTATGCTAAGAGCTTATAGGTTATTTACTTGTTATTTCAAGTGTGATCCTTAGCCCATTGGCTGCATGAGCCTCTGGGAGCTTGCTGGAATCACAGAATCACAGGCCTGATTGTGTGCTAGAATAGCTAGTCTAACAAGATCCCAGGTGATTCATATGCACATTTAAGTTTGAGAAGCACTGCTCTGTGTGGTTAAAAATGAGTGGATACATGTATGATCCAGTAATTGAATTCTGACTCCTCAGTAGCAGCTTTGATGGAAGGTGTAATGAAAGAGGAACATAAAATTCTGAATTTGGCTTCCTCTTTATTAATTAATGTCTTTCCCTTCAAAGGCTCAGATTTGCTTCAAGGGAAGACTGCTAGACTAACAGCACATTTACTCCTGCCTCTTTTCCATTTCTCATATTGGCTTACCCAGAGAATAATATCACTTCTGGTACAGTCTTCAATATCTTAATAAGAAGTCTTTTCTTATTTTTGAAACCAGATATCTCAGAAATAGAGTCAAACCGATCATTTTCTCCAGAGGAGAGACGGCAGCAGTATTCCGATTATGATTATCATTCCTCAAATGAAAAGCTGAAGGAAAGACCAAAGTAAGATGATGTATACTTTCCCTCATGCGCGGCACCGTGAATGTACACACATACATTTTACAGATCTGTTGCATTATGAGACATTAACATGATGTGTGCTTAAGTTCAAGAGAGGACATGCAGAACAGATGGTCCAGGATGGGCGCCACACCCACTCCCTTTAAGTCCATGGGGGACGCTGCAGCTGCACTTGGCACAGAGAACAGCAAGGAACCCAAATACCAAGAGGAACCGCCAGGTGAGGCTCCTTGTAAACAGCTGTGTTCGGAAGTATATGCTTGGTCATTCCAGAGGGTGGCCAGAAGGAGAGAGAAGTTATTAAGAAATCATTCAGATATGTGGAAGAGGCACTCCAGTCTCTTTTAATATTAAAAAAACTTACAAGAATAATAGCCCTTACCATATGCCAACAGATTGGTCACATTTTTTAAATGTTTCACTATATTTATGGTCTTTGTGTTTCCCATCTCTGATCCCAACCTGAACTGCTCTGCTCTTAACATTTCTGACACCAGGGGCGCCTGGGTGGGTCAGCTGGTTGGGTGTCCAACGTAGGCTCAGGTCATGATCCCGCAGTTCATGAGTTTGAGCCCCATATTGAGCCTGCTGCTGTCAGCTTGAGCCTGGAAACTGCTTCAGATTCTGTTTCCCCCTCTCTCTCTCTCTGCCCCTCCCCCATTCTCTCTCTCTCTCTCTCTCTCTCTCTCTCTCTCTCTCTCTCTCTCAAAAACAAATAAACATTAACATTTCTGACACCAAACGTGTGGGTTTCTTCCCCTACTCAACTACCAATTCTCGAATTCTCCAGACACCAACTGATCATCCTACAATTCACTTCAGTCCTGGCACTGGCTACCCAGAGTTGAGTGCCGACCCCACAGGTTAAGCATTCAGTCCCATAAGATACCTTCACTGCAGACACCACTGCAATCCCCAGGTGCTCCCTATACTTCTGACCAAATCAGCTCTGAACCGAGGGTTCCCATAACCTCCTCCTCACTCTGGTTTGATCATTTGCTAGACTGGCTTACAGAACTCAGGGAAGCACTTTACTTCCTATTACCGGTTTTTATACGACAGAGGAACAGCCAAATGGAAGCAAGGTATAGGGTGAGGGGCACAGAGCTGCCAGGTGCTCTCCAGGCGTACCACCCTTCCCAGTATCTCAGTGTGTTCACTGACCCTAAAGCACTCCAAACTCCATAGTTTATGGATTTTACGTAGGCTCTGTCATGTGTGTGATCAGTTATTAACTGAGTCTCTAACCCCTGTCCCCTCCCAGATGGTGGGGAGGTAGGCTGAAAGTTCTAAGCTTCTAATCATGGGTTGCTGTGTCTGGTGACCAGTCCCCATCTTGAGGCTATCGAGGAGTTCTCTCTTTAGAGACAGAGATAGAGGAAATTCCAAGAGATGTAGGACTTGTGTCAGGAACTGAAGGCAAAGAGGAAAGAGAGAAGATTGTCCTGGCACCCATATCACTCTGGAAATTACAGGGATTTTAGGAGCTCTGTATTAGGAACTGGGGGCAGAGACTAAATGTTTATATATATATATATATATGTGTGTGTGTGTGTGTGTGTGTGTATTGTTATTGTGTGTGATGATTGATGAGTATCCAGCATACATGTATATATATATATACATTTAGTCTCATATATATATATATATATTTGTTTTATTTCCTTTATTTTTATTTTGAGAGAGACAGAGAGAGCATGAGCAGGGGAGGGGCAGAGAGGGAGAGAGAGGATCCCAAGCTCTCAGGGCTCATGACTCAGGGCTCAAACTCATGAAAGTGTGAGGTCTTGATCTGAGTTGAAATCAAGAGCTGGACACTCAACTGACCGAGCCACCCACGTGCCCCCCAAATATATATGTTTCCAATCCTGTCACAGTTAAATTTTGTCTTATTTGATTAACTGAAGTCCTTTTGTTTCCCACTTCTGATCTCAACCCCATCCTCCAGCCCTGCCCCGTTGCCCTAAAATTATCATTGTGATTTTACATAATATTTATTGATGGTAAGGGCCGATTTATGTGGTTTTTAAAGTATATAAAATGTTCTTTCGCATGTGACTGTGCACCTGGGATTTTGGAAGTTTCTTACCTCACTTATTTTGAGAAACTATTCGTACCTGCTAATGCCTCCAAATTAAACTTCACCTTAAAGACTTATTTTTGTTGTCTGATGTGATGATTTATATGTAGCATAAGGTACCGATTTGGATTTTTGTGGATTTTGTGATCTTTATAGAGACAAACTCACTCTAGTTCTCTTGTTAATGATAGGTGGTTTTTAATCCACAGCTCCTCAACCAAAAGCAGCCCCAAGAACCTTTCTCCGTCCTAGTCCTGAAGATGAAGCAATATATGGGTATATCTTTCAGCCTCTCTCTCTTTTCCTTTCTCCTTCCATACACCTCAGTGTCCTTAACTGAAGTACACTGGTGTTTTTTAACTGCAGATGGCAGTTTTGCATATAATGGGCCACTGTTAACCAACCTCTATTGTTAGTGTTTATGAGAAAGAGAAATAACTTGTAGGAAAAGAAAAATGTGGAATTTGGCGAACTTTGTAATGTTAACTTTGCTTGTCTACTTATCTGGCTGCTTTTCCAGAATGTGATTCTGAGTATTTGAGTTTGCCAAATTGGTAACTCTCAAATAGGTGAAATGTTGCTTAACTACAGGACCTTTTTAGGGTTGTAGTATCCTGACGATCCTAGCATGTGGAGGGAGGATAGAAATGACACAGTGCTCTGCTCTGGATAATGAGAACCCGTGTGGTTCAGTGGTGGTAGAGAGGGGCAGCTTCTGGAGTAAGATCCGACCTTGCTGGACCCAGGTTGTGTCTCCATTTGGCAAGAATCCTGTGGTGGCCGCAAGCTTTCCTTTGGGAGAATCCTAAAGTGGGAGTCAGATGGCCTAGCCCTGCCTTTTGTTTGCTTTCTAATCTTGAATGAGTTTACATAAACACCTGTATTTCTACTTATTAACCAGTTAAGTGGGCCTGCTGATGTTCATCTCATAGTCCCAAAAACGACAGATAAAAACGGGAGATTTTTAATATGTAAATCTCTCCATAAATAGAAGAAATTAAATCTTTCACTAATGTTGTTCTCCTTCACAAAGAAAAATCTCCCATCTTTCTTTTCTAAAACCGAACCGATTGCAGTCCCAATACCAAAATGGTGAGGTTTCAGAAGGGAGACAGTGTGGGCCTCCGGTTGGCTGGTGGCAATGACGTTGGGATATTTGTGGCTGGCATTCAAGAGGGGACCTCCGCAGAGCAAGAAGGCCTTCAAGAAGGGGACCAGATTCTGAAGGTAGGAAAAGCCCAGCCCTGTTTCTAGACGTTACTGGGGAAGAGCTGATTATAAGGGAAGTGTCTAGCTCGTGAAAACGGACCAGTAGCAGGTTTGTTCGTGCTAAACATAAGTTCTGTTTCCCTGAATGGGCCCTGTCTTCTCAGTCCTGGAACCCAAAACTCATGCCCATGCCTGTGGGAATTTATAGTGTTTAAGACCCTTGCTAAGATTTTTATTAGTAAGCTTAACAAAAAGATTGAGATTCTAACTTAAGGCCTAGGAGGAAGACCTCTCAAAAGATCTTGCTAATGTTTGTTTGTTTTTTATTGATTCCCTGCCTGGTTGTCACTCTTAAGGCAGTGTGCTGAACTTGAACAAAGGTGGGTGTTGGCTTAGATCATCAGCCTTGAATCCACTCCCAGCCTCTCATTAGTTCCGTGACCTTGGTTTAACCCTGACACTCAGGTTTCATATCTGTTCAATGGGGATGAGAATACCTGCCTTGCAGGGGCCCTGGAAGATTGGAATGGATAACACTCACAAGGCATTTAGCAGAGTTCCTGGCACAGAGCAGGAAGGTCAATGTCTGTTCTTCTCCCCACTGGAAAATAACAAGTTGCTGCCACTCAGGATGTTGTTTACATCTAAAATTGACCAGGAATGGGAATTTCTGGTTAATCAAATATTGGTCCTTTTAAAGTTACTATATATATGTTTATATAATCTACTACTTTTAGAAAATAAACTCAGCTTTGACATTTCATGAGATACATATAATGTATTTTCCATTGGCTTCTGAATAAAGAATGTCAAATACCTCGTGACTCTGAAAATACAGGGAACTGTCTTCACTGGAATTTCTGCTTCTGTAAACTTGCATTTCTTATGAGTTTATTAGGGGGTCTGGTAAAAGTATCTAGGTTCAAAGGAGAGAGGAGAAAAAAAGTTGCAGAATTCCCAAGGAAGCAGGCAACAGAGCCCCAAAACAGGTGGTCCTCTTCCTTGGCTCTTGGCCTCACTGCGGTAGTTCAGATTTCATTTCTGGAGCAGATGAAGGGCAAAGCTTGATCATGAGCTTTGCTGAAGCTTTCCAGTGATATTCTAAACCTTCCTTGGCTCTGGTCAGGATCCTAGAAGACCAAGTGTACCTGAGTGAACCTGGTGGTACCACGTGATCCTAGGAAATACCACTTACCAAGTGTTATCGATAAGAATCCCATCAGAGTGCCAGCTCATACCAATTTACTTTTGGGCTGATACCAAAGGAGAGAAAGCATTATTTCCTAACTAATGTGGGGCTATAGGAAGTCAGGAATTTGGAAGCCTTTGCTCATGAAGGTTCAAGAATAAAATATTTTTGTATCCTTGGGTAAAAAAGATTTTCTGAATTTCCATGAAAACATAGTGAATTCACCCCAAGGCCTAATAAGCCTCTCTGTAAGTTGTTAAAGACAGGAGAGTCATTTCCATGTGTAAAAGTCATGGTATGCAATGTTTATACTTAAGAAAGTGTCTTATTTTTTGTTATCACCCTAGTAAAAGACAAGAAGAAAACTATGGGAACCAGCTTTTTTTGGGGGCAGTAATCCCATCTGAAGGTCAGACAATAGATGGTCCTCGTTCTTGGGCGTGAATAAATTTTCTGTTAAGGAACTCTCAGCTCTACAAAAGGGTAAAAAAGACTTGAGCTTGCCTACTGGGGCAGAGAAGCCGCTATATAATCAAAAGCTGTAGCTGATACAGAATCCTTTTCAGGCTCACAGCAGACACGGCTAGTCCCCGTAGACTACTAAATAGATTAATGAAAGGGGATATTTCTTGGAGAGGACTGTACAACCTAACCTTCCAGTATCAAAGTGCTGTCCTGGCCTTTTTAACTGTAATTTGTTCCAGCATTCACGGCCAAATTGAATATGTGGGGAACTCTGTACATATACTAAACACTTTTCTTCTGTTGAGGGTTTTTTAAGTGGAGCTCTTCCCTTTGTAAAGATGGCAGCCTGACATGTGGAATGAACACACCAGTGTATTGTGGCAGGATATCTGCCTTATCCGTTAACAGACGTATATGTTTTCATGTTTGGCATAACTCTTTGCTTATTATTTATCTGGTATGGTTCTTATTTCTCTTTCAGAAACTTTTATGGGATGGAAGAGAGAAAGAAACTCCTCTAAGTTTTTAAATGTAGCTACCATGTGTGATTTAATTTTGACCAGTGTAGTTTGTAGCTCGATGGAAGGTCAGTCTCACATGGCCATAGGATGGATAGATGGACCCTCAAGGTCTTCCCTCAAGCCCTATGGCCTTATCTCATTTAAATAAAGATGGGGTGCCTGGGTGGCTCAGTCGGTTAAGCATGTGACTTTGGCTCCGGTCATGATTTTGCGGTCCGTGAATTTGAGCCCCATGTCAGGCTCTGTGCTGACAGATCAGAGCCTGGAGCCTGCTTCAGATTCTGTCTCCCTCTCTCTCTGCCCCTCCTCCACTTGCACGCGTGCTCTCTCTCAAAAAATAAACATTAAAAAAATTTTTTTAAATAAAAATAAAGGCATATAGAGTGCATACAAAAACATGTCACCATATACAGACACAGGTGTAGTAGATATGAAAATGGCATAAGAAAGGATTAGATTCTAAAATCTGATGATCCCTAATTAAGGGATAGAGAGACGGAATGACAGATACCCTAAATGATAAATACTGTTTCAAAGGAAAAGTTAATGGGATTGCTTTAGCAAGTTACTTTATTTCAAAAGCACCAAGTGTCAACCTAATGCCTGTTTTCACTTAATCATAAATTCCAATCTTAATTTAGGCTCAATGATTTTTTTCAGTGATAAAGTAATAAAGACTTCCATAGTCCTCAATGACTGAAAAAAATATTTCGTAGGAATTCTGTATCTTCTTTTTACTTCTATATTGTTAAAATATTAGGTACTTAAAAAACATTTTTTTTTAAATGTTTTACTTAGAGTCATAGTGGAAGAGGGGCAGAGAGAGAGGGAGACTGAGGATCTGAAGTGGTCTCTGTGCTGACAGTAGAGACCCTGATGCGGGGCTTGAACTTAAGAGCTGTGAGATTAAGACCTGAGCCAAAGTCCCATGCTTAATTGACTGAGCCACCCAGGCGCCCCTAAAATAATTTTTATATTTGCTTATTTTTGACTATTCTGTTTTAAAATGATTTTAAAGGTACTGAACAAAGATTCCAAAATGTCTTTTTCTTTGTGCCACATTTCAGTTTTACTTGCTTTGTAACTTACCTTTCAAAACCTAATTACTGTGTCCCCTCTTTGGTCGATGGGGGATAAATGTTGTGGCTCCTTGCCAGAAGCTTAAATATATAAGTCTATCTATTAGGCTAATGGTCTGCCATTTAAGGCTAATGCTCTTCAGTTTCATAAACACATATTAAAAACCTTTTAGGTGACAGAACTTACAGGAGAAAGGTGGAATTGCATTTTTATTTTCAGGCTTTTATTTGAATCAACTTAAAGTGTTAATGCCTTAAGTTGGGCCAGCATGCTTGTTTTGCCATAAAACTCTACCACTCCCTATAGCATTACAGTTATGTTTCATAATTGTATATTACCTCCCTGACCACCTCTATGGGAGACTCAAAGAAGAGACAGACACACGAACATAATAAGAAGGTTTAATCTGATCCAGTGACAAATCCTTGATGGAATGGCCTATTTCTAAGGGACGGTTGGCAGTGTGGGGAGGCAGGAGGGTATGGTGACTCACACAGCCTAGGCCCATAGGAGGTATTGGGAGGGTTTCAGTTGGGACACTAAGGACTTTTTTATATCTGGGATTTGCTTTGGGCAGGCCCTGATGAAAACAAAGAGACAAAAACTTAGGTGACATCTTTTAAAAAACCTCTTCTTCTTGTTTTTTGTTTTGTTTTATTTTTGTTTTTTGTGTTTTTGTTTTTTTTCGGTTTGTTTTTCTGTTTGCCTTATCAGGTGAACACACAGGATTTCAGAGGGCTGGTTCGGGAAGATGCCGTTCTCTACCTGCTAGAAATCCCTAAAGGTGAAATGGTGACCATATTAGCTCAGAGCCGAGCTGATGGTGAGCATGTTTGGTTATTAGTTTAATGCGGGGAGTGGGTGAAGGGAGGAAGGATGAGAGAGGTATCTTGGGACCAGAATAGGTAAGTCTGGGTATTAAAAAACTGAAGTATATCTTCACACTCAATTTCTGAGTCATAGGTATGTGGAGAAAATTTGGGTACCATTTAATGTCCTACAGAAATGTCTTCTGTACACCAACTGAAATCATTTTACCAGTTGTGTCAATTTGGAATAAAATTGCTTTTCTGAATAGTGATCTGTCCTTAAGTACTGCCTGGAGTTTATGGAGTTTCCATATGCAAGATACAAAGGGCCCCATCTGTGGATCAACTCCCACATTAATGCTTATCTGACAAGTTGCTATACCCTTATCTTGACAATGCAAGTCTGACAACTTGCTATACCCTTTCAGACTTCATTGTTCTCATCTGTAAAATGGGGGTTGATAGCATCTTCCCTGTCTGCTTCAGGGGTTGACTGGCAAGTATATTAGGGCTCTCTAAAGCAATAGAATCAATAGGATATATGTGTGTGTGTGTGTGTGTATAGATGTTTATTATAAGGAATGGGCTCACATGATTACAGAGGTTGGCCAAGTCCCAAAATCTGCCGGGTGAGCTGGCAAGTTGGAGATCCACGAGAGCCAATGATTTGGTTCCATTCCAAGTACAGAGGCCTGAGAACTGGGAGAGCTAATGGTGTAGTTACAGTCTGAAGGTTAGCAAGCTCACAACCCAGGAAGACCTAATGCTTCCATCTGAGTCTGAAAGCAGGAAAAAAGCTGATGTCCCAAAAGCTGATGTCCTAGTTCTAAAGCAGGAAGAGTTTGTTTCTTCTTACTCAGTGAAGAGTTCCCCTTTCTGTTTTATTCAAGCCGTCAACTGATTGGCTGAGGCCCACCACATGAGGAAGCGCAATCTGCTTTACTCAGTCTACTAATTTAAATGTTAATGTTCATTCCATAACACCCTCAGTTACACACAGAATAATGTTTAACCAAACATCTGGGCACCCTGTGGCCCAGTCAGGTTGACACAAAATTAACCATTATGGTGACTCATGGAGTTAGCTTTCTGCCCTTGTTTGAGCCCTGATTCCCATCGGGTCTGTTCACTGAGTTTACTAAATGAAGAGAAGTAAAAAGGGTGATCAGGGATAGGAGAAGCTGGTAACTGTGAAGCAGAATGCAACATACAACAATGCTTTTGTTTTTCAGTGTATAGAGACATACTAGCTTGTGGCAGAGGGGATTCGTTTTTTATAAGAAGCCACTTTGAATGTGAGAAGGAAACTCCACAGAGCCTGGCTTTCACCAGGGGGGAGGTCTTCCGAGTGGTAGATACGCTGTACGATGGCAAGCTGGGCCACTGGCTGGCCGTGAGGATCGGAAATGAGTTGGAGAAAGGCTTAATCCCCAACAAAAGCAGGTATCAGAGATCATACACTCTCATACACCTCTCCTAAGTGTTCCACAAATCAATACAGTCCCTTCCCTGCTCAAAAAGGAAGCCCCTATAACTTCATCATTTGTCGTCGTGTCCTCTCCTGTCACCTATTCCACCTATTCTTATTTATGAGGTGTGGCCCGGGACCGTGAGATACCCACTAAATGGTCTGCTGTACTTAGTTAGCATCATGTGGTTGGCTGTTGCACCTGGCTGGTGTTTCAACGGTTTCCAGGGGAGTGCCTGCCACCTTGCGTAGCCTACAAGCAGATTACCAAGCGGCTGTAGCAAACCAACACGCCTCTCAGAGACAGGTTGCCCTTGTCCGCTGTCGGGCCCGCATCCTTGGACGGGGCTGATCTATCCCAGTTAACACTTGTTGGTTGGCTGACTAGGGAAAATAGTAAAGATGATTATACTTTGGCATGGATTTTAGTTATGTTTATTGTATTCCATCCTACCATAATGAGCCAAGTTTATTGTGTTCTGAGCTATTTCTGGTAGGTTTTCTGTGCACCCAACCATTCTCTGCTTCCACTGTGTGGAGAATGTCCCCACGTTTCCCATTCTGTGAAACCTCTTTGGTGTCAAGCTGCATCTTCTCTATTCCAAGTTCATAAGCAGTATTGACTAGACTTGGTTAATTTTAACTTCATTTGTGCATTTTCTGGCTTTTGAGATTTACTTCCTGTGGTTTTTTTCTCTCAGAGCTGAACAGATGGCCAGTGTTCAGAATGCCCAGAGAGACAATGCTGGGGACAGAGCAGATTTCTGGAGAATGCGTGGTCAGAGATCTGGCGTGAAGAAAAACTTAAGGAAGAGTCGGGAAGATCTAACAGCCGTTGTGTCAGTTAGCACCAAGTTCCCAGCCTATGAGAGGGTTTTGCTGCGAGAAGGTGAGGAAGCTAGGTGGGGCCTAAGGAAATGATCTGACTGGGCTCTGAGCCTGTTTTTCTTCATTTCCATACTGTAACAGTCAGGTTCAAACTTACCATACCACTTAGACCAATGCCAGGTTATAGCGTTGGAATCACACTCAAACATGAAATAAAATTTCCAAAAAAGTGAGCTGTGCCAACTCTTACATGGAGGTGTATTTCCACATCTTATGTTATTTAATTTTTTTAATTTTTGGGGGGGTGGAGGGGCAGAGAGAGAGAGGGAGAGAGAATCCCAAGCAGGCTCGAGGCTTAGTGAAGAGCCTGATGCAGGGTTTGATCTCATGACTCTGAGATCATGACCTGAACCGAAACCAAGAGTCGAAAGCTTAACCCACTGAGCCACTTGGGCGCCCCTTCAGTTATTTCTTCTGATACTACCATTCAAAAGTTTTCATATATTGCCTATAGTAAAGTTTTTTTTTTAAGTGTTTATTCATTTTTTGAGAGAGAGAGGGAGAGCGCGAGTGGGGGAGGGGGGAGAGAGGGAGACACAGAACCTGAAGCAGGCTCTAGGCTCCAAGTTGTCAGCAGAGAGCTTGAGGCGAGGCTCGAACCCATGAACCATGAGATCGTGACTTGAACTGAAGTCAGATGCTTAACTGACTGAAACACCCAGGTGCCCCAGTAAACTTTATCTTTGACACTAGGGAGGGGAGTAAAAGCATATTCTTCAGGAAAGAACAGGGCTGAAGTGAGGGAGGGAGGGAGAGCACACCATTTCTTTAATTATGTTCATCACTAGCCTATAAAATACTTTGGCTTCTTATCTTAATAGCTGAGGAAATGTGTTTCCATGGCCTTTCTTGTCTCATTTCAGCTGGTTTCAAGAGACCTGTGGTCTTATTTGGTCCTATAGCAGATATAGCACTGGAAAAGTTGGCAAATGAGTTACCTGACCTGTTTCAAACTGCTAGTAAGTCTGTTGATGATCTTTTCCTCCCCAAATTTTCAGTTTGAGAAATATCTAATATAAAGGAAAAATGGAAAAAAAGGAGAATACCCACATACCCTTCACATGCAGTCACTGTCACCAGTCAGAAAGTTTGCTATATATCACCCCTACCACAGACACAGATACATACTCTTAAAATTTTCTTTTGAGCCATTTGAAAAGTTTAAGTTGTAGACGTTGTAACATTTTTTTAGCCACGTGAGTCTCCTCAGAACAAGAGCATTCTTCTATACAGTGACACTGCCAAGAAATTTAACACTGATAAAACCGTACTGTTTAGTATATATTGTGTTTATGTCTACAAAGACAGAAGTAGCCTCCTCTTTCTACTTTATTTTCTAACATTGATATCTTGCAGAGTCCAAGCCCCTTGTCTCACCTGTGGGACTATCTGCTTCCTCATGATTAGATTTCAATTTAAGAGGTGGTGTGAGTGCTTCTCCTCTCTCTTTAGGGTGGCACCTTATGTCAGACTGATGGAGTCTCTGATTTTGATTTCTAAAAAAGTTGGTTAGCCCCTTGTTTTTGCTTTTGCAGAAACGGAACCAAAAGATGCAGGATCCGAGAAATCCAGTGGGGTGGTGCGGTTAAATACAGTGAGGCAAATCATTGAACAGGTGAGGAAATTCATCTGAAGGCCATGTTGTCGGAAGGAATTAGCTCATGGTTTGCTGGAGTCTTTTTTAGGACAGAATCTGTTTTTAATAATCATTAAATGTTAATTGTAAAAAATAAATATAAATGTAAGCTGTTGCATTGTGTGGAAACCAGGTGATGTTCAGCGGCAGTGACGTACTGTTTTTTTCAGTTCTCAACATTATACCAGATAACCTGTTAATTCATTTTCTCAGCAGTTCCAATAACTTTCCTCCATAACATGGAGGAAAACATTCTGCTTTTGGATTTAAATTGACAAGTTTTATCTGATGCAGCCTTTACTTAAAATAAACTCTTTGCTGCTGTATGATTTTACATACATAACTTTGACGTAACTTTTCCCCATTTCTGACAGGATAAGCATGCACTCCTGGATGTGACTCCTAAAGCTGTGGACCTGTTGAATTACACTCAGTGGTTCCCGATTGTGATTTTTTTCAACCCAGACTCCAGACAAGGTGTCAAAACCATGAGACAGAGGTTGAATCCAACGTCCAACAAAAGTTCTCGGAAGTTATATGACCAAGCCAACAAGCTTAAAAAAACTTGTGCACATCTTTTTACAGGTAAGTGAAATTTAAAATGTTGTCTCTTTGTTCCATGGTGGAAAATACAGAATTGAAGAATGGAAGAACCAAGAAAATAATATGAAAAAAGAAGAATAATCTGAAATCCTATTCATGACTCCTTGAAAAGAAGTTAATCCTATAAAATGAGTTTATGAGACTCATTGAGTGTATATATTTAATTTTGACTAAAAATGATCATAAAGATCTATGACATTGCAAAAATTGGTCATTATGATGAGGTTCAAATTTTTGTGTGGGACTGTAGGCTAGTGATTAAGCCCAGTGCACCACTAAACACCCCCATCTCTATATAGCTTGTATCGTTCTCTACTTATCATGCATGTGTGCACTAATGGAGTGGTAGGAACTTGGTTTCATTATTTAAAAAGGTCCCCAAAATAGAAACTTGAACACTCTGGGTACTGGATAATATTCTATTACTTCCATTTTTAGGATAAATGATACTGTGATTATGTTTTAAAAATAAAGAGTTTTTATCTTGTAGGAATGTATACTAAATAAAGTGTTCATGGATGACCCTAATATATATTTATGGATGACCTAATATCATGCCTAGCATTTGCTTAAATGATCTTTGGTGAGGAGAGTGGGTGGGGATATTAACACGAGTTGATAGTTGTTGAAGGTGGGTAATGTAGACATGTAAGTTCATGTTCTCTCTACTTTGCATATGTTTAAAATTTTATATCACAGAATATTAAGTTCCTGAAATGAAGACCCACTGCTACTATTCCTTAAAAAATAATCTAAGAACATAGCATGTTTTAATAACTGAATATACGCTACCTACATACATGACTAGTTCTGTGAATGCAGTATAATTCAGGGTTTAAAAGGGTTGTATGAAGTTTTTGGTCATGCAGTTTTGTGGGAGCAACGTGAGGAGACTGTTGTGGATAGAACATCCTTCACATAGTGATGATAGCTCTTTTGAGTTCAGTGCTGCTCACCATCTACTTGTCATTTTTAGCATATCTGACACTGGGGAAGGGGGGGTAGATAGATGTACGTCCACATTAGACTCTTGTCTTATTTTCACTGGCTTTTCTTGTTAAAGATATGTGCTATTTATCATTATGGTGAAATGCTGTAACTGAGAGGTAATTTAGCCAAATGCACAGGAGAGTGGTCTATCATAAATTTTTTTTTAATGTTTAATTTTTTTCAACGTTTATTTATTTTTGGGACAGAGAGAGACAGAGCATGAACAGGGGAGGGGCAGAGGAGAGAGGGAGACAGAATCGAAACACTCCAGGCTCTGGAGCCATCAGCCCAGGTATTCGAACACGCTGGAAGGCTCGAACTCACGGACCGCCGGATCATCATGACCTGGCTGGTCGGACGCTAAATTGTGCTACCCAGGCTTCCGCCTTTTAATGTTTTTTTTTTTTTTTTCTTTTATATTTTGTAGAGAGAGAGAGAGAGAGAACATAAGTGGGGAAGGCAAGGGAAAGAGAAAAAGAGGAATCTGAAGTATGCTGCACTACAGCAGAGAGCCTGATGTGGGGCTCGAACTCACGAACCGTGAGATCACTACCTGAGCTGAAGTTGGGACACTTAACCGACTGAGCTACCCAGGTGCTCCATAAACTGGGTTTTTTTTTAATGTAAAGTCTTAAGAGCTTGGGCTTTTGATACATTCATACTCATCTTTCCTCTTGTTTTTACTACTGCTACTAATAGTAATAATGTAATTAATAATTATTATCACTATTTTTATTATAGCAGTAGCTAACATTGGTATAGCTTTTCATGTGCTTATTGGACTGTAAGAAAAGCCAGGTGACTTTTACAGGGTCACACATTGAATGGTGGGGCCCAGAAGAAACTGATGTCTCTGTGTGTCCAATATTCTATATGTTACAGCACAGATGTATTTTTAATGTTGAAAGGGGTCATATAGCGTAATTCCTCTGTTTAACAGATAATTAGTCCATTTAACCAAGAGCTATATCATTATGAGTGATATTAAACCTACCCCCACTTCATCCCCACCCCCGCCTTTGCTTCAGTCCATTGAATAGCTAGGGGCTTGCCTTAGAGTTGAATTTGGAGTTCATGTGAGGATATGAGACATCAGGGAGGGAACTCATGGGTTGTGGAGGAAGAACCAGGCTGCAGGAGGCTGGACAAAGGGAGGGGCATGGTAGAAGAAAGTAGCCAGTGACTCTAGGGCCCTCTCTTTATCTGGCTGTGAGTGGGTATCGTTTGCTCTTTGGAGCACAGGCATAATCACACTAGCTGGCTGTGTCTGAGGATCCGTAGGACCTCATGTGTGTAGAAAGGTTTAACAGTTCCTTATTCGGCTCCACTAATGGATGATGAGATTCTTGAAGGCAGGGACTGTACATTACTCTGTGTGCCGAAGGTCAGCATAAGGCCTAGCAAACAGGCAGGGCATTGATATTTGTAACTTAGATCTGCCTTTGGGATACCAAACTATTTCTTGCCTAAAGCTCATTAAGAGTTTGAAGGTTTAGGATAACTAAAGTCAGAGGCTGGAACAGAAATGAAGATACTAAGCCTCCAGTTTCATCTAGAACTTTGAAGTGGCCATGAGTTGCCAACCTCTCTAACATGGAATTCTGCAGTCTTCAGGACAGATGGAACAGGGTGCTGAATGACTTTTACCAACAAGCCCCAGTTTTCTACCAAATGGCCTCTTACAGTATTCTTCCAGACTTCCAAGTTTGAGTCTTGAAAGCCGCATGGATGGTCTCACTAAATGCTTTCTATTCCCCGTGTCTCTGTCAGGCTGACCAGGTTGTGGCCTGATTGTGTGCACGATGGCCAGAATCAAAGGTTTTTTTTAATGATTTTTAATTTATGGCATTTTTTGAATGTGTAAGTAAGAATAATCGAACTGTTCTGAACACCCTAATTCAAAAATCCAGGGTTATGTTGCAGGTAGACTCCCCACAGTCAATATCCTTCTTTTCCCTGTTGCATTGTAACAAGAAAGTCCCATTTCCCACAGATGAGTATTTAATTATGACACTATTAAAATGACTCCCCTTGCAAACTCACGGTATCCCTCAGTTAAGTGGGGATGACAAGGAAAGATTTATTTTGAGATTTGCCCCAAAGCAAGTTAATTTTCAGTATAAGTTAAAATGTTAGGCTGCCCTTTTTTCCCATTTAAAAATTTCTATTCTAGAATGCATTTCTGTGTACTTGTCACAAAAATGATTTTTCAAACATGAAGTTTGAATTGCAAGTTTTCTTGAAATTCC